ATTAAAAATATCAAATCCAAAAAGCTTAGTTATTATTTTTTCCAAATTGACTTATCTTGTATTACTCTCTCGTTGTATTGCTTAATTCTTACTGAAAATTTGCCTATCATTGATTTCTCAAAATTGATGTTCTTCAATTGGAATAGATATCAATTTAAGGGGTTACCTATGCTATATTGCATCCCTTTAGTAGTTCTATCTTCTGTTTTGCAGGTTGATGATGTTCTATTTGATGATGTGCCTGCTGTTATTGGTAACTACGATATTTGTATTGTAAAAAACATGCGGCTAAATGCTGATGTTATTTTTTGTGCAAATAGGACAAAGCTAATAATGTAGTATGGTGTTGGGCTGGAAGGTTCTTTATTTATTTTTGTTAAATACCATAAGCATAATATCTGTTAGAAATTATTTCTTATATGCATATGGTCTCCATTTATCTTTACATGAAGGCGTTGACATCAATGCTGCTGCAAAGCATGGAATCAAAGTCGCTAGAATTCCTAGTGGTGTAACTGGAAATGCAGCTTCATGTGAAGAAATGGCCATTTTTCTAATGTTAGGCCTTCTTCGTAAGCAAGTCAGTTCAATTCAGTCCAATAATCTAGAATCAATATGCATTCCTCATTTTTTTTTAGCTTATAAATAGGGAAGCTACAACAACTTTTTGGTGAATTAATTATTTTGAATTATGAATATGCAGAAATAAATGGTTTATGTACATTGATCTAAATTGCAATTAAGAAAAATGATAAATTTATGTTGTGCTATCTCTCCATGATATGTTGCTAATTTTCTTCTTTTTCCTAAGTGAAATTTATGTGTTGAAGCTCAATTGGTGAAAAGTTTTAGCCCAGTACCCCTATATTGGAAAGTCTTTTGTTTTTTACTTTTTTCATCCATAATTTTCTCAAACCATGATAAATTTCACTGTGTTGATAAGAGCTTAACCAGAATTTTTAGTTAATTATTTATTAATTTTCATTACCTTGCAAGACCATTTTTGTAATAACCTTGCAAATAGAAAGTGATGTATTTTATCAGTATCACAATACAGGCGAGTGGTATATCACTAGACTTTTAACTTATAAAACTGTTGATTAGATTTACTCTCTTATCTATTACTATATATTATTTTCATCGACGGCAGTATGCCTTGTAATTACTTTATTCTTTCTACCTTGTCTTCACTACAAAGCTTAAATTCATTAATCCCCAAAGGTACATGACATTGTTTTTGAGGGGTTCAAATTTGCTGCAGTGTTGGTCATTTTGGCATATAACCCTTCTATTTTATTTACTTTATTTTCTATCTTTATATTCCCTCTTGATAGCCTTTTCCACTCTGATGAGTGGTATATCACTAGACTTTTAACTTATAAAACTGTTGATTAGATTTACTCTCTTATCTATTACTATATATTATTATCATCGACGGCAGTATGCCTTGTAATTACTTTATTCTTTCTACTTTGTCTTCACTACAAAGCTTAAATTCATTAATCCCCAAAGGTACATGACATTGTTTTTGAGGGGTTCAAATTTGCTGCAGTGTTGGTCATTTTGGCATATAACCCTTCTATTTTATTTACTTTATTTTCTATCTTTATATTCCCTCTTGATAGCCTTTTCCACTCTAGACAAATTCCCACTATTTAGTGTTAGAAGTACGTAAATGATGTGCTCACACTCTTTGTTTTTTATAGGGTGTTTCTCCTATTTAATTATGAATTGGTCGCATGTGGAAATCCACTATTGCTTGAGCATTTGATCATTTGGAGCACATTTTGTTATTAAGCTGTTTAATCTGAGCACTTTTGTCCTTTATTTGTCATTATTGCTGAGATATCTTAAGAATTCATACACGAGGCTTGGTTTTCTTCATATCTTCTGACTTTCGTTGTTTATTGACAATATTTCAACTTTGCTTTTAGGTTTGGGTCTTTTTGTGGTAGTGCACATTCAATATGCATTTTATTTTTGTTTTTTATTTTTTGGGACTCTTGTGAAATTCTAGATGTTTGGGATTTTAGGATTATATGGACAGGCATTATACATTTTCTTTTACAAGACATTGTTGTTTGTAAATGTGGTTATATCATAGATATAACACATATTTTTGTATGAAATTTAAGTCATGTTTACGTAAATTGGTTTTTTGTTATTTTGTTATTACTTCAGAATGAGATGCATATTACTGTAAAGCAGAAACTGCATGGAGAGCCAGTTGGTGAAACATTGCTGGGAAAAAAATGAGTTTCAATTATCTTGGTTTTTCTGCTACAAGTTTTCCTACAAATGCATTCGTGCATTTTGTGTTTTCTTTTCTTATTTTCTTTTCATTGTTTTATTTTTTTAATATCCTAGAACAACTTCATGTTGAACAAATGCTTCAAATAAATGATTTAAAGTTGCTTGCTACCACATCTAGAGTTGCATGTGTGCATGCTTTGATGTAGCTTTCCATCTACTGTTGATATTAATGTGATTTCTAACAAATTATGTTCTATGCATATCGGTGGTTTACGATATTAATTTAATTGAATCTAGTGTTTGAACTGCTAATGGATGCAAATATAGTAGGCAGTTGAATCTTGATTTCTCCCTTAGCTATTAATATGAGATTTTTTAGTGGTTAAAAAATACAAGCATTTTGATATGTTCATGGCATCATAGATATGGAAGTGTGTTTTAGGTTTGCTTTTGCTTATTTATTCATATGGGTTGGAATTTAACCACACAGAAAGGCAAAACACAAGGTGTAAATGGTCATGTCTACCATTAACATTGAATTCAGCCTTGTGGAAGGGTTTCAAGTAATATTTTAGTCATTCTTTTTCAGCCTCATGAATTCGAGGTGTTGACGTTCCAAAATCACCAAACATCATCGCATTAGCACGAAACTTGGCACACATGACCGCCTAGGCACGAGAGACTTGTGGGAGAAGATGAGACTCGAATCAAGTTCCCGATTTGGGAGTTAGAGCCGGATTTCTGTATAGGCAAACTAGTTCATTAAAAAACTTAAAATTTGAGGTGTTCACGTCCCAAAATCACCAAACGGTGTCTGATTAGCACAAAACTTGGCACACATGACCTCCTAGGCACGAGAGACTTGTGAGAGAAGACGAGACTCGATCGGGTTCCTGGTTTGAGAGTTAGAGCTGGATTTTGGTCTAGGCAAACTAGTTCCTTAAGAAACTTAGAATCCGAGGTATTGACGCCTCAAAATCACCAAACGGCATTGGATTAGCACAAAACTTGGCACACACGACCACCTAGGCACGAGAGACTTGTGTGAGAAGATGAGACTTGAATCGGGTTCCCGGTTTGGGAGTTAGAGCCGAATTTTGGTCTAGGCAAACTAGTTCCTTAAGAAACTTAGAATTCGAGATGTTGATGCTCCAAAATCACCAAACGGCATCGGATTAGCATGGAACTTGGCACTCACGACCGCCTTGGCACGAGAGAGTTGTGGGAGAAGACGGGACTCGAATCGGGTTCCTGGTTTGGGAGTTAGAGCCGGATTTCGATCAAGACAAACTAATTTCTTAAGAAACTTAGAATTCGAGGTGTTGATGCCCCAAAATCACCAAATGGTGTACGAAACTTGGCACGCACGATCACCTAGGCACGAGAGAGCTATGGGAGAAGACGGGACTCAAATCGGGTTCCCAGTTTGGGAGTTAGAGCCGAATTTCGATCTAAGCAAACTAGTTCCTTAAGAAACTTAGAATTTGAGGTGTTGACGCCCCAAAATCACCAAACAGCTTCAGATTAGCACGAAACTTGGCACGCATAACCGCCTAGGCACAAGGGACTTGTGGGAGAAGACATGACTCAAATCGGGTTCCCAATTTGGGAGTTGGAGCCGAATTTTTGTCTAGGCAAACTAATTTCTTAAGAAACTTAGAATTCAAAGTGTTGATGCCCCAAAATCACCAAACGGCTTCAGATTAGCACGAAACTTGGCACACACACGACCGCCTTGGCACGAGAGACTTGTGGGAGAAGAGAGGACTTGAATCGGGTTCCCAGTTTGAGAGTTAGAGTCGGATTTTGATCTAGGTAAAATTATTTACTTAATTATTTTTGTAATTGTATAGTAGTTAAATTTTTATATTTTTTTTTTGTAATTAACATATTAACACATAATTATATTGTCATTAATTATTTTTATTTTTTGTTTTCAGATATTTCCCGAGTAAGAGTTTGCTTCTTGTGGAATGCATACCTGTGAAGAATGCGACTGACTTTTATTTTTGTTACGGAGAATGATGAGGAAAACTTTTGTTTTTGGTTCATGTTATTTTGAATTGTGAGCAACATTATGTATTTAAACATTATATATGTATTATGGAACATTATGTAATAGGGTACTTTTACTGATGTGTAGTTATGAATGCAAGAATATTTTTATTATGGAGAAATTGTTATTTCTATACAGGATTTTTTTATATTATTATGCAATTATTGATTTCTTTTTCAATTTTTTTTCATTTAATACTAGTAATTTTAATTTTTTAATATATATATATATATATATATTTTGCGACGGCACCATACCGTCGCAAAAAATATTAGAGCAAAAATGTATTTTTTTGGGCGACATGGGCAATGTCGTCACAAAAGAAATTGGCAATAGAGGTCATGCCGTCGTAGCAAAAAAACATTTCGCGACAGCATTTTTTTGCCGTCTCAAATAAAACTTTTAGCGACGGTAAAACATTGCTTTCGCAAAATGTCTCAATTTTTTACATATTATGGGCAATAATAAAACGTCGTCGCAAAAGGCAACATTTGCCATCGCAAAGAAAAAAACGACGACATGTCATCGCTAAAATTTTTTAGCAACATCCTCTATTGTGAACCCCCTTTGCCATCGCTAAAAATTATTTGCCGTCGCTAAAAGTTTTTTGAGACGGTATTAATGCCGTCGCAAAAAACTAAAATTTTTGTAGTGTTATTTACTTTGTTTCATCTTCCTATCTCTCTTTATCTCTCTCTCTCTCTCTCTCTCTTTTTCTCTTCTCTCTTCTCTCTCTCTCTCTCTCTCTCTCTCTCCTCTCTCTCTGTTTTTCTCTCT